AAGTATACAGAGATTAAGAAGGAAAAAAGGATATAAAAGGAAAAATGGGTATAGTTTACAAAAAACACAGCAATAAAAAAAGCTTTTAAGTGGAAAAATTAAAAAAAAAAAAAAAAAACAGAAAATACTGAATAAATTTCATATTTACAGTGTGCATCTTCAGTAACTGTGATGTTTAGTTATATAAAACATTCTATAAAATAGCAACGATCTGAAGTACCTCATAAAACAGATCCACTGGTGAGAAACATTACAGCTAACAGTTTGTCTATGAGAAGCAACTTATTACCCTTCCTCCAGCATTTAAAAGCATAATGCTTATGACAGACAGAAGTGTGGTATACTTGTTGTTTATCCTGCATTGCTATTAAGATCAAAATCTTCATTAAAAGCAAATGAGAAGCTGAAACAGTAGTGATTTACAGCGATCTGCAGATTTTACATGACACAAGTTACAAGTTGCTTAAACTGGCCCAACCTACACTATGTTTGGGTTATGGGCATGAATATATATATATACATACACTGATCTAACTGACATGCATTACACAATCAAGCAGGAGTCAAATGTGTTTCCCATTAAACAAATGCGGGTGGTCTGCTTGCTTCTCAAGCAGTACTGTGTCAATGAATTTTGTAAAGCAGTACAGCGCTTAATTCTATCTGAACAGCCTCTGAAGAGGGCATAGCTATGTTTCATTCTTCTATCAAAGTGCATTAACATCTCTTTCAACTAGTACAGTAGAAAAGCGGTCCCATCGTTACTGGGAGCAATATTATGACACAACAGAAGCACCAAGCTTTGATTACCAATTTCTTTCTATTTTATGTTCTTAATTGCATCTTAGAAAGTAACATGCTATTTGAAACAGAGTATACAATTTACCATATAGTTAAAAATCAGACTTTATCATAAGGGATTTTCAGAGAACACTTTTTTCCTATGTTTAATTAAATGACAGGGATGTATTCTGGATGAAATAAATGTTAACTGATGAACAGAAATCAGCACACATTCACTCCACAATGTAGTCTTGGAAGTAGATGGGAAAATTCAACAGGATAGTGCTAAACTGGCTATAACAGTACTCCTGCATCTTTCACCACGGTGCCCTCCCCTCTGTGGGTAGTGGGGTTTTCTGGTGGTTTTTTTTTATTCTTGTTTTGGGTTTTTTTTTAAACAATCGTGTCCAAATGTGAGAGGTCTTTCAATGTGCATAAACAGTTCCCTGAGCAACAGACGACTGTATGGAGCCGAAGGAGGATTTGTGGTGCCCAGTAACACAACTGAACTAAGGGCACAGGTTCCCTTTAACGCAATTACTGAATTTGCATCTCCTTCCTCTGCCCAACCACTCGTTCTGCATTTAATTTGTAGGTACAGATGATCTATCCTCTTGTCATAATTAGCCAAAACTAACAAATATGTTAAGAAATCACTGGTGAGAGTCTGCAAAAACACATGTGCAGATGCACGAAGCTGTCACAGAAATGACACACTAACAAAGTTACACACACAGGAACTAATGTTATTATGTTTTCATTAAATTACTTAGATTATTTTAAAGAATAAAAACTACTGATAGATTTTCTTTTATGAACTTCAGAAATCTCCTCTCAATTTTTTCCAAGACAACATGTAAAATCATCCTTTGTGAATAGTTTCTTATAAATGCAAAATTCTGAATTTGGAAATCTGTTCTTTTTCAAACTCATTTGTGAAGATTGCTGTAAAATCTCAAAAGAGTCAAAAGAGCTAAACCTGCATTTTCTGTTACACAAAATTACAAGTGCGGATATTCTTATATCATATTTCACCAGAAAATGTCTACAGTTTTGGTAAGGCTGAAGTAATGAGCTACTTAATGACATATAGTGTGTTTAAGTCATTTTGGTTCCTTGCCCAAAAACTCTCTTCAATACCACTGCCACCCCACAAGCAAATTTATACCGCAAGTGAAAATTAATACTTCCAAAGATAAACTTTCATCTCTCTTGTGGTAAACCTTGTGCAGCATATCAAGAATTTTTAATAAATATAGATCTCAATTTTCTATAGTTTCTGCACATTATACAAAATATTCTCTCCATTAAATAGAGATTTGGTGTTTTCTTTTTCTTCTAGAAAAAGAAAGGAAGGAATATCTTTCCACTGACAAACTTCAAGGAACTTGAAACTAAAGGAAAAATAAAAGCCTTTATATTGGCTTGAGCTCTTCTAGCTATAATTGGCAAATGCAAGGCTGATGACATTAGATTTTTCATTTAAGTCTACAATAACGTATCAAAGTATTACTGCTCAGAGCAGAAGCAAACCACATTGTTAGCACAACCACCTAATTCAGTTTCCATGCTAGCACTGTATTCGGTCTTTGGTAGATTTTATGGGACAATGTTTCACCAATAACAAACAGACAGCCTGTGGACTGGTAAAGCAAAGTGGCTATGGCATGGCCGGGCACTTCCCAGTACCTCTCCGGCAAATATGAGGGGTGAAATCATGTCACAGCTGAACTCAACAGGAGTTCTGCCACTGAACTGAACGTGGCCAGAATCTCATCCTCAAAAGTTATGAATCATCCATCTGCTCACTCACTTCAAAGCAAATTCATAAATAGGCTACTGAAATCATATTTCATTTCAACCTAATTATTCACGATGATGACACATTAGGTTATTACATGAAAACATCATTTCTAGACCAATGTTGTTACTATTAAGTTTGCTGCTTCATCAAGTTCACATGCATTTTCGACACTTGCTGCCACAGGATTCTTTGCCATTGCCGACAGCACATCTCAATAACCATTAATATTCAGGTACCCAGAAAAGTAAACTCTGGTCAGATTCACATCGGGTGTGTTTTTTCCAGAAGGCATATACCATCCCCAGTTTCTTATGGACTGGTTCCCAAAAGCAATACACTAGTCAAGATGCAGGAGAAATAAAGATATGTTTCAGATACCTGGATTCCAAAACCTTCCAAACCCTGCTTACGACATCAAAGACACAGGCAGTGGTTTCTGTGCCCATCATTTGGAATGCTGCTGCTTATGATCCACTGCTGATACATTTCTGCCATTGCAGACCTTTTCCAGCTGCAGGGATCACTTCTATAATCCAATTTCTTCATGGTCAGAATGCCTCATATAAATGACATAATCCCTAGCTTGAGCAGTCAGTCACATGTGCACATTCCTTCCCCATGCTCACATTTTCAAAACCCTGTTCTTCCTACACAAATAGTTATAACCTCACTCATTTGATTTGTGCTCACAGATTTAAGGGATGGGGAATGGGTTGATAGTGACTGGCTTTAACCATGGGGCAAGGGAAGAAGGCTGTTCATTTCTTCATGTTTCTAAAAACTATTGTCAACAAAGATCTACCTAAATTTTAAAAACACAATGGAACAAGGTCGCTTACATTGATGAGATCAATAGCTAAAGAGGTTTTGGACGTCAAAATTACTTTGATCCATAATCTCCCTTAAAAAATATATATTTAATACATATGCAGTAGAAGCCTGAAGTCTTTTGCTTCAGGTATATAACGAGACATAAAGTTGGCTTAATGCAGCAAACTGAATGGGTTAGTTTTGCCTACCAATTTCCCTGGGTTAGCCAGCAAATTACTAGTAACAAAAGCAGGCAACAGAAGTGTACTTCCTCAGCTCAGTTCAGGATACAGAAAGCACAGCAGTCTCACCATCAAATATTCTTCACATTTTCTTCCATGTAACTATCAAACACATTGCCCTTACAGAAGCATAAAAAGAAAACATCAAATTCTTCAAACACCATTCAAAAGAAGCTCTCTCTGGCCATGCTCTTAAGCTTTAATTGGCATTTCAAATTGGCAACTGCATACTAAACACTCCAGTACAACAAATTATTCCCACTCTACTAATCCATAGGTGACCTACATAAAATGTGACTATAAGGAATCTTTTAACAGTGAGACCTATTGGTATATTAAAATCTAGTCCAACTAGTGAAGTTGGTCATTTTTAGAATCTCTCTTAATTCCACACTAACATTTAAATGTTTCCCCTTTGCATGTTTAACAAAGGTGTCACACGAGAGCTGTACACTCATGTCAGGTGCTTGTTTGTTTGAGAGGCCTTCGCCTACCTCTTTTGCTGGAAAATATTTACACCACAGCACACGGAACAGACCTGGCTGTCCTCAATGTATTCACTGAGTAATTCCCTACTAGAAGTCACTGTCTCAGGGTAAGATGCCTATCTCCAGATTCTTCTTCACTTGAAACTAGTGGCTATGCCGACTATATTCTGTATGTCCTTGCTCTATATGTCCAGATTCTTCTTTTCACTTGAAACTAGCGGCTATGCCTACTATATATTCTAAGTGCAAAACACATTCGATTCCTTTTAAATTGCCAAAAATTGCATCTTCAATGTAAGTAATCTCTGTTCATTACAGCATAATAGCTTTAATAATGAAAAGACTCATGCACGCTGGAGCAGACAGAAGTACATTAGCATCATATGCATTCCTGTTATGAATCCAGACGTTATGATACTTAATCTCTCCTTTAGTAGAGATTGCAAATTTCCTCCATTTCAATGTCAGCAAGTCTTTTGAAATAATACACATAAATGGAATAAAAAACTAAGAATCAAGACCATATTGTTTTGAACACTTGAACAATACTTAAGTATGTGTGATTTCTTTTATTTGTTCCATTATCTGAGAAAGTAGTTTTCCTCCAATATTTACTATATTTGGTCTACTCACAGCTGGTAGTTGCAAAGAAATATGAATTCAGATTTCAAGATTAAGGAATTTCTGGTGAATACCCACAACAAGCTAAATTAAAGCAGCCCATTAGGTTTTCTTCACAAACAAAAGCTAACAAAACATCTGTCTGGCAACAATACTTACCCCATTCTTACAGAACAGTTTTAACCACAAATAACAGGCAGTTTCTGCCTTATTTACACAGTATAAATTCAAAAGTTTCAGTATTATACTCACAGCGAATTCCGTAAATCATGAGAGGATCCAGTTGCTTCTTTCCATGCTTCCCCTGGCCCGAAAGGTTGGAGATGGCCTGAATTTCCCGATGGAAGAGATAATCAAGCAGTGTCAGTGCCATCTTCTCAGCTGTGCGGCAGTTCGTGCTGATGTGCAGCATGTCGGCAGGGGTGATGGGGCAACGAACTCTCATCTCCGGATTATTTTCATCTCCGAGCCACGTCCCATTGGGGTAATCCTCTAAAAACAGAGATTGTGGAAATTCTAATTGTGGCATAGAATGAAACAGTCAGGTTCAAGTTACAGTCAACGCTTCTTAAATTACCATGAGCTCTTCCAGTTTTCTTCGTAGTCTCCATAAACTTCTTTAAAATTTAGCACGACTAATAGGTTTTGCTGAGATTTCCTACAGATAAAAAGTTATTCTCAAATCCACATCAACAATGACCAAAATTTATTGCCATTAATGTTCTGGCCTACACAAGAAACCGGTGCCATTAGTGCAGATGCCTAACTCGCACTCAGTTATCTTTTTAATGTGTCTCATTCTAGAGGCCAACAGCTGAAGGAGCACACTATATTCACAGTGTTCTCATTCATCAAGTTAGTCATCCCCTAAAAATGAGGATTACTGCAACCCCGCAATACTTCTAAAGTACAGCTAAGTTCAAGAAGCTAACAGCTTTGAACCACATTTTTCCCTAAAAGCATCTGATTAAAATGAGTCTAAGCAAGGTTATAAATTTAAGAAATTACACTAATAGTGAACAGTAACTTATTTAATCACTTAAAGAGTATTTCAAGAAATGACAATCATTCAAAATGTAGGCAGAGATCCCAATTAAAATTTTGGTCTTTCTTCAAATTTACTGGCCAGTAGGCTACCTTATTTCCTAAACACAGAGTTTACCAAGGAACAAGCCCAGCATAAAGGTAATGAATCAATCACTAATTATTTCCCAAGTGCATCTTCCCTTCTATTCAAGTATAAGGCCATTAGCAGCAGAACTATACCTAACTTCTCCTGTATATACACACACAATTTTTATATATAAAGAAGTTTCTTGATTTCTGCCCCAGCTCTCAGTTTGGTGGGGGGAAAAAACCTGTTCATTTGAAGAGGAATACTAACCCCCCACTGGAAATTAATCTTTGCAGACAGTGCCAAAAGTTAGTGGATCCAAGACTAACCAGAAACTCGAACAGAGCTCATAAGGATGATCAATCCCTCCTGAAGTGAGGGATGCAACACAGGATCTAGGATGAGACTCTCATTCCAGATAAGAACAAACTTCCAGTACAAATCTTGACAACGCTAATAGGAACTGGATAGAACCACATTCCAGTACTGTTTCAATGTTCACTGACACAGACCATTTGGATTTGATTTCTCTGTTTGCTCAACTCTGTGGAGTAAAACAAAGCTTCCTGACTTAGGAGTCACTCAGCCCTTCCCTACTAGAGTTTTATTGCATTTCATTGTTGTTTCACACACCTTCAAAATGGTAAACATGTGACCAAGAATTCAACTCCATGATTTATCTTTCACTAATTGCCTTTCAAGTAGTTTCATGGTATATACAAAAACACAAATTCCTGGTTTCCATTATCCTCCTAGTCACCAAACGAGGTGACCGAGTTCAGACAGATGAGCATATCCTTCTCACACTGAACAGGACCCCTGAGCAAGCAGCATCTTTATTTCCAAGTACTGGCATAGGTTAAGCAGCCTGCATTTTACTAGACTACAGACCAAAAGTATGCAATAAAATAGAACATAAAAGCAACTCAAACACTAAAAAACACTTTTCCAACATGACCTTTGGGTTGAGTCATACCACATGTCAGATGCAAGTTTATTGCAATGAATAACGACCATATGAAGCAAATGTTAGATTATGCAATACTGATATATCACTATAAACATCAGATTATCAACTATAATTATTTGTAAGGAAAAATATTTGTTGCTGATGTATGTAGCAGCTAGTCCCTCAAACTTCTGTTATCAACAGAAGAAACTTTCTAAAAATATTTTTATTCGCTCACAATTTTTCCTATATATTTTTTATTTGAACCTTACTTTTTATCCTGAACTATGTAATAGGGCACACTATCTGTTTTCTGCTCACGGTGCCAGGTGCCATCCAAAAACTAAGGTGGTTCAGCTTAATTATGACTTGTTTTGAATGCCATTGTGTCTGGCCTCACCACAAGTCTGGTTAATGTTATCAGGGAAAACAACAGTCTGTTCCTGAAGATAAATTGACTGTTCTATAAAAATTTGGGCAGAACTGACAAAGCAAAAACATCTCTGGATAAATGCAAAAGTTTTTCAAAGAAATTCTAGGAAGCCCTAGTAAATGATTCTATATCCTATCAAAATCTTATTTCCTTATTAGTTCACAGAACTACTATTTGATATGAGTTATTACTACTTCTGGAACACCTTCCACCTGCAATCTTGTTTAACAAATGCTATCAACCTGCATGAACTAAAGTTTTTTTTCAATTTGCAAAATAATCTCCTTTTTTTTTTTTTTTTTTTACTGGCAGAGAGTCCAGAACATACTGTTTTCACCACATGCAACTGTTCTTTTATTGCTAACAGCCTGGAAAAAAGACACTATCTTGTTATTCTGACCTATGAACACAAGCCCCGCATTAAATTATCTCTTGCATTTTCCTCCTGCTTTAAAGCTTCAACAGAAAGGGAATTTGCTTGATAGTCATTTTGCATTAAGTGGAACTTGCATGACTTAAGTTAACCATGACTCTACTGTTTCACTGCACCTACTTGAGGGCACAAAAGCTAAACTATTTCTTAGCATATATAAAAATAATTCCTACTGGCCTGCCAACACATCTGGCTCTTTGCACAGAGCAAATATGATGAGATTGGCACATAAAAAAGCTGGTGGAAAGAGGAAGCACAGTGCCAGTTATGAGGGTGGCAGACCTGCTCTGAACAAGTGGTGTGGTATGGGAGAAGACAGACTGAATAAAGAAAGAGAAAAAAAAAAGACTGGAAGTTTGATGGAAGTTTTCTCTGAACAATTAAGTACCTAAACGCTGTTGATTAAAGGTGCATCATTTGAAGCTCCTAGCACTCAAACATGCTTTTATGCTTACTGAAACGGTTCTTTATGGGTATTATCAGTCATTATATGTAATATCTAGATAGAATCTGGATGAGTCATGTTATTCAGCACATACATTGCAATAGCCAGATACCGAGTCAGGACTCCACAGGGCACTGTACAACCGTACACACAGCTGCTTCTATTCCTTAAGTGCTACCAAAACACAAAGAGCATGTGAAGGGCTAGGGATGAAGAATACAGATAAGGAACACTCTTAAAAATAACAAAGCATAAATGCACACGCTTATCTGTACCTTAATCATGCACCTTTTTTTTTCTGCCCTGAAGTATTTTTCTTTTGTTAATTTTCCTGAGGGCCTTGCTGGATTTCGAGTGCTATGTGGAAAGGCACTTCCTTGAGTTTCTTCACACCAAACATTTTATCATCAGAGAAGTGGCTCTTGATCATTTCTACTTCCAGTGTTAAAAGTCCTGACATTTTAATCTGATTTCTTCTCTGTACTCAGAAGCTCATTTCAATGACAGACAGACTAAATATCTAGCTCCTCTTCAATGTTTTTTTAAGAGATCAGAAAAGTTGCCTTTAGCTCCATTCTACTGAATCCAGAACTAGTTCACTTTTCAACGCAGTTTTCAAATCTTTTTTACTGTACTAAGCCCATTTCTTTTATCTCACAGCACAGCTGACCATTCCTCTGTTTCTGCAGGGACATGCGAGAAGACAAGAGGCGGCTGGGGCTGCTACACAAACAAGGGGACGGATGAGCTTTAGGGTTAGTATCAAGAAAACCTACGTCAAGAGAGCAAAAACCAGACAAGAGTCACTGTGGCTTTCAGACTAGCTGTTGATGTGTGTGTGTTTTCCCACCCCGGGAGATGACAGACACTTCACTGTTACTCACATCCTTCCACTGGGATACGCGCCCCTACGTTGACATGTGAGCATCAGCAGCAAGACTAGAAGCAAAGCTCTCGCGAGGTGTTGTCAGTCACTCTTTTAAACCAAGGAAAAACAAAAGAAAACACCTGCCCGCATAAACACTTGAATTAATGTGTTCCATTATTCAGAGTAGCTGTGTTTATTTTACTAACAAGGCTGGCTGCAGATCTGGCATTTGCAACAGAGAAAAATGGTAGCTACAGTACAAAGGCATAAAGATTAATTAACCTTAAAAAGAAAAAAGCCAACCAAACAGTAACCCAGAAAAATAAACCCCCATTTCAGAGAAATTAAAGAATATTTTCGCTGTTGTATACAAAATTCAACATCATCTTTTTAAATAAACTTTTGTCAATCGGACCAAGTCCTCTGCCCCTACAAGAGTTCACAAGGGTAGTGATTAACTGACTACAGAGCACTGACTTAAACTAACAAACATTAAATAAAAGGGAACAGTGTGACAATGAGGCTGTATGTTAACCTACGAATCCAACAGTGTGATTTAAAGATTGCGCTATAAGAAAAAGTTTAAAAAGTAGCTGTAAAGCTATGCTCACCAAAACCTCCTCCCGCCACAAAAAGCAGTGAAGATATTGGGAGTTCTGGCAAAAGGAAGTGTACAACACACACACGTCTACAAACATCAGCCCTGGACACAGAACTGGGTTTTTTTGCCTGACGATTCTCACTGGGAAAAAAAGGTTTAATTTCCATGTCAATATAAAAGAAAGATAGCCAGAAGAATCTCATGTTCCAGGTATAATCTCCTGTACAGCACAAAGGATTTGGATAACAGAGACACAGTTCCAGTTAACTTCTAAGCCCCCATGATTAGAGGACTGGTACAGTACACGAAATATTCTGAAAATATAACCCGCGCTCTGCTGTGCTCATGATTTTTTCAGTCATCTGACAGACAACATACAGCATGAAAAAATATGTATGGGATGCAATACCAAAGCATACTCGGCTCAGTAAATATTACAGTGTACACAAAAGTCTCAGCATAACATCGGCAAAATTACTAGTTTGTTAAAAACAAGGCTAAATATAAAACTAAATCAGTTTTAGTATAGGGTTAAATCCATGAGAGAAAGAAGACATTCACTTTATGACTCACGGAAGGCCAGGGAATTTATTCAACAAAAGTAAAAAATTAGGACTAGGTGATCATCTGTCATTTAAAACGATCAGCT